CTTCCTTTCATTCATCTTAATTTCCGCATGTGCCACCGGAGGCGCTTCAGACGATACAGGAAAAGCTGTGTCCTGTACACTTCGTACTGCGTCCAACAACAACGGTAGCGAATGATACACGCAATCTTTAAAGTTTTTCAAACTAAGTTCTTTAACGGAGCCTCTGTTCTCCTCCGAATACACTACAGACAGGCATTTATTGGGTATCACAACTTCCTTGCCCTCTTTCTCTACGGCTATATTCGTATACAATAAATCCACACTCGCCACCGTCCTGTCACCACCGTGCGCTTTGAGGTACTCATTTGGTAACAACGCTGCCAACTTACTCCACTGGGCGTGTGTAACATTCTTCCTACGCCCCGCATTACCCAGCACCCACCGCAACTCGTTCAACGAGCTTTCAAAAGTGCTACTACCACCTCTACCTCTTGATTGCGATCTAGCCGTATTGTCGTAACGCCCTCGACTCCTGCTTCTTCCGCGTCTGCCGCCTCGTCCACCTCGTCCTCGAATCATCTTCAACTTACATAATGTTTTTATTTTAATTTTAAAACCAATAATTTACCCCATTTCTTAATATTAAAGCGTAGTTCCCTATAGTTGCTAACATTTGAAATAAGGATATCAAAAATATTATTATCATTACACAATATACAATATAAACACCATAGTAAATAATTGAATATATTCTATAAATTATTCTAAATAAAAAATAAAGCCTCATGCGCTTACTGCCACTTTGCTCTACCTTGCGCCGGTGTAATTGTCGGTAACAATCCTCCGCCTGTAGCTTCCGTAAGCTGACGTTGTAACCGAAAAAACCCTATAACCAACACACTGGTTATCAGAGTTAACGTAGCCAATACTATTAACATATAAGTTTCTAACATTGTTGCAATCGTACCCCAGGCCAGACCCAGCATGCCTTGCGGCTCGCACCTGTCGAAATCATCCCACGGTACGTATTCCTTTGTCTGGTTACAATAGCAAAATGACGTCTTATTCAAACTAGCGAGAATTAGCGAGTATTGATGCTATACCTACGTTCGCGTTCCATAAGCAACCGACTCGCCAAAGCCACCACCTTCCTTTCACCGTCTACCACTTGAAATAATTGAGCCCCTAGGCCGACATCGCTAGCATCCGTATTTAAATAATACGGCAGGTCTTCTCTAGGGTGGAACAACAGCGTTTTTTCTGCTAATTTTGCCTTAATCGTATCAAATGCGTAATTGGAAGAGACTGAGCAAATTAAATAAAAGGTTAAAGAAGAGCAAGAAAAGCGTAAAGCGTACACGGTTTGACCAAATTAGGGTTCCACAACATAGACTGAATACAACAACTAACAGTCCCCTTTGCATGCCCATTAAGATCTACAATTACCTACCAAAGACCATTAAACACTTACCTTATTACCCGTTTAAAAGAGCAATAAGGAGATACCTTGTAGAAAACCCATACTATAATTTAAATGAATTCTTTGCCAGGTCAACTCTGTAATTCCAGATTATTATTTCTAGTTTTTTACTTATTTGTTGATTTTTCAATTATGTGTATGACGAATGTATGTAATCTTCAAATTACTAGGACATAATAAAGATATTGATTGATTGTATACCCAAATCCAGAACCTGAATGGCTAGCAATGAACATACATGAACCAAGGGATTTGTCAAAAGCTACCAAAATTGGTATTCTACAGAATGGTGGACAGATAACATCACGCACTACAAGACACAGAAAAGGTGAAACGATAAGTTTGTCAAATACACAACATGTTTTTGTGACAGTCATCGTTTAACATCAGAAGACATTAATTGTACAAATAATATATTCAGTTTTTCATGCAAATTGTTAAAGAAAGGTATCGCTGCAGATATCTATCACGAGAGGGCAAATATATTGAAATCCTCCTTTCCATGTACCATACATGAAGCTCAAAAGGGTATTACAAGGGTCAATTGTGAAACCACATTAAGTAATATGCTTACAATACTTAAAAGTAGAACCCTGACACTTTGCCGCCATCTTGGATTTTATTCGCGGGGTCAATCAAGGTCAATTAAATTGATTCGCGGGTTCGCCCACGTGGGCGGGGGTATTTTCGGGGGTGGAGGGGGAAATTTGGAGTTTGATTTGATTAATTAATTAAAAATTGTGGGATTTTGGTCTTTATTGACATTTGATAAGAGCGATGACGTCATCAATTAAATTGATTACTGTGGATTAATTTAATTTGTGGTTTGATTGATCTAATTAATTTAATTCGCGGTTTGATTTCCCGGAATTTCTGTTTGATTACTTTGATTCGCGGCTTAATCAATTTAATTAGCGGTTTGATTTCTCGGAATTTCCTCTAATTAATTTGATTCGCGGCTTATTTAATTTAATCCGCGGTCCGATTAATTTAATTCGCGGTTTGATTGATCTAATTAATTTATCGATTAATTTAAATTGATCGTATAATCAAGAATAATTACACATATGTAATAATTACACACACAGGTAACTCTAATTGAAAACAAAATGGCGGAAAAATAAAATGGCCGCCAAAGGCGGGAAATTTGAAATTTTTTCTATCTTTCTCTCTTACTCACTGCGTCTATCTCTCTCTTACTCATTGCGTCCCTCTTTTACCTATTCTGAAATAGAAGTTAGAAAATGAACAAGTTTTAATTATGTTTATTAGGGTGCAACAATTAACAAAAAAAAAAACATTACAATCAAAAATTAAGCGCAAATTACAATTTAAAATATACAATACAAACCCGTTTCCACACCACCCAGGAGGTAGAGTTAAGGCGCGTTTTTTTTAACGTGGTGTTCCCCTGTAGGCCTAATCCACGGAACGTATTTACAAACTTAAAAAACTAGATCTGTACAAACTAAAATTGATTAGGATAAATTAAAAAGTTTATTAAATAATTGAACTAGGGCCTCCACGCGTGAGCCACTGAGCTCCGGCCACATATCGATCACTGCCGTGAACTGTTGCACTGAATTGTTTATTGTGCGGTTCATAAGATCAAGCGCTTCTTCTTCCTCCGTAGGTGAGGACACGTCCATCTCCCTCAGGACGTTTATTGCGTCCGTTATACAATTCATAGCGGTCTCGCACAGCCTTATATAATTACACAGGTCTTCCGAGAGTGTATAAATTTTTGCCTTCATATCGTTGTAGATAAGTCTTTTGCTCACTATAACGGTTTCCACTGTGCGTGGTAGCTCCGTGAGAGCTATATTGTCACGGAGTACCACTAACTCACACATGTTGCATAATGTTGAGCTTTCCGGTGTGGGGTTAAAAGCACTCAACTTAGCCAGGAACACCAAACACCCCGTGACGTCGATCTCGCGGATCTCGCGGTACATACTCTCCAGATTCTGCACAATCGCGTCACGAAGAACCTCCATGGCGAACGCACGAAAATAACCAACAAATTTTTATTTTTCGTGGCTTATAAGGGTTTAGCCAGACATAATTTCGGGAAATGCAAATGAGAGTCATGTACATTAACGGCCCTATATTGTACAGTTTGTTTACTTTTTCTTAAATCGTACAATTTTTGAATACAAAATTAATGAAAAATAAGCAAAACATTTTGAAGACCCTGGATTATCTGCATTTTGAGGCGCCAAGACTACCTGTTTTCTACGAATTCCTCATGGATACTGTTGTTATTTGTTCCTGCTACCCTTTTGTTAAAGATGACAACGGCGCCCGTTCAGTATTGTTTACTTACCGCAGTCTCTTTTAATTGTTTCTCATATTTTTAATGCCGTTAAATAAAAATGCGGAAATACATTTAGACTTTTATTAATCAATTAGATTCACCTTATAAAAAGTCATATTATACAATAAATCAATTATATCATCGTTACATTCTAAATCATTATTAAACATATCTACAAATTCCTTAAGTGATAAATTATTAAACTTAAAAACTAAATACATTAAACAATATTGTCCACAATAAGTTGATAAAGGATGCTGCAGCACTCGCGAATTAAAGGTGAATTTCCGGGCGTGTTTTTTCAAAAATTTTAAATGTAATCCATCAGGTGGACGTCCGAATGAATCGAAATATTCTCCATTTCCATCTTCATCTATGTAAATTCCGTTCCAGTGTTGCCCTGTGCGTGTTGAAACATCTGTATTGACAATTGCAGCAAATGGCCGACGTACACTTGCTCGTATAAGTTCATCTGATGCGAAAACAGCACGCGCAGCCTTCTTCTGAATCAGATTCAACGCTCGTTGAAGTTCTAGGGTATTCATTTGTTGAATCAATTTGCGCCCACTCGTGTAATATTAATGCATTTTCTTGAGCGCACATAAGCGTGTTCTCCGCATGATTGAGACACCTTACACCGCTATGACTTTTCTTTAATTTCTTTAGCGAAGGGCATCCCACGTCTTCTAAATTAATTACAAACTTGTCAAGGAAATTTAACAAGTACTGTTTCTCCACGCCCTTTACGTATATTCTATTAAACGGTTGCAGTAACGTACGTAGTTCTTCTTCAAGGTCCTCGTATCTAATGTACCCGGAATTCCATTTCAAGCCATAACAGTCTTCCAAGAATTTGATTTCTTTTTTCATCGCTGAGGTTACAGTATAATTGACGGGCGGCTTCATCAGTAGAGTTGTGCAACTAGGCCCCTCCGACGAAACGATAGATATTTCTTTTGGAATGAATTCCTTTAAGCTTCCGCGGAATCCTTGAAAATCAACGTAGGCATCCATCACATGAAACATTTTCTAATAAACTGAGGATCCGTAATAAAGTATTATAATTTTATCCCTTCTGTCATGCGCAGTAGCTTTTTTTCCAACACAGGGGAAATGATGTAATCAAGTTGATGAATGCGTCTTTGGAAACGTGCGGCATCTCTTGCGTACTGCATCCAAGGTCCTTTTCTAGCTTGATGATGAGCATGTGGCCATGCAATTATGTGACGCACTGTATTCCGGGACTCGTCAAAAGAAACTTTTTTAAATGTTAAAGTCTGCGATGACATTTCGATGTTTATCAATTTCAATAACGTTGTCAAATTCTGCGTACACGAGACAATTCACCGTCTCAGTCAGAGCGTCTTGGAAACCAACTTCGATACGAAGAGAACCGTTCTTTACCAAGTTCCAATGAGTTGTGGCGTTTGCGGATAAATCCGGCGTTAAATCGAAAGTCATTAGGCAGTATCCGTGCGGATAGTCTAAACGTGATACGTTATTTCCTTCGTTCAAAAAATGTATTCCAGTTCCAGAAAATAAAGTGTGGTAGGCCCTTACGTATAATCCTTCTTGAGTGAAATCTGGTTGTAACGGTTTTGATGGAATTTGCTGCCCATCAATGTACAGAGACATATAATTAATCTTGTAATGATGAAAGTTGAAGGGATTGGAAGCGTATTCTCCGTTAAACGCTCTATTCGACACAAAACCAATTATGCAGCGTTTTGGTAGTTGTCCAAGGAAGACATTATCCAATGATTTGCGTTGCACACCTGCGGGAATCGTTAGCACCTTCACATCCGATCTAGTAATAGGGTATTTGGCTGCAGTGGTTTCTAATGCTTTTGTGTGCGCAAGAAGAACTACAGGATTAATCTTCATTCTTCTAACCAGTAAACTGGCATCCACAATTTTCACTCTGTATGTTGAACCAGCAGCAGCCATTAAACTAAAGGTGTCTCTTGTTCGAACAAATTTTACTTTCATTTCAACTCCATTTATGAGAAACTTTTCTTGATTAAATAAGTCAGCGTGCACATGACCAACCATTTCCACCATTTTACCGAGCTTTGTGGTATTTTGACGAATAGCGAAACCTTTGTTATCAGCTGTTAATGTATCCATTTGCTTCGGAGTATCGTTATGCCATAAGGAACACCCCAGATGAGTTGTTTTAGCTTCAGAGCCATAATTTAACAGAGTTTCAATGTATGCACGATACGCATAAGTATTGCTTGGTGGCAAGGGCGGATCCATAGGGGGGGGGGGAATGGGGGGAATTTCCCCCCCCCCCCCCCAGAATACAACAATGCAGCGGATTATTATAGGATCACCATATACATACCTATTTTGGATTCAATAATAAATGATTTAGACTATCGATTTGATAGTGATTTTTTTAATATACTAAATTTAAATATAGTTTTGCCAAGTACATTTACAAGACATGATTTTTCAAAAGTCGAAGAAGAGGCTACTTTTGAATTAATTTCCTATATCAAGAATCTTGATCCTGATAATAAAAATTCCGCTATGATAGACTTAAAAATACGTTCAGAACTAAAATTGTGGCAAAATAAATGTAAAAACGAAAACCTCATGGATTTGAGTGTACTCGATTTGTTCAAACTATGCGACTCAAATTTTTTTCCATACGTAAAACTAATTTTACAAGTTTTATTAACTTTACCTTGTAGTGTAGCTTCTGCAGAAAGGTCTTTTTCCGCTTTACGGAGGTTAAAAACTTGGCTTAGATCAAACATGACTGAGGAACGTTTAGCAGGACTTGCACTTTTGCACATCCATCGAGATATTTTAATTGATGTAGAAAAAATTATTGACGATTTTGCAAACTCTAAGAGGCGCAAAATAGAATTTACTATCTAGCCGTGTTTTTAATTTGTTTACTTACTGTTTATTAATTATATATTGGTTTTAGAATTACTGTTTGAGTTACTAGTTTTTTATCACATTTGTTTCTAAAATTAGTTTGAAGTTTTTTTTTATGTATACCAAAGTTAATCAGTTAATCTTAGGATTGTTAGGTTTAAAATGTATGTAACATAATGTCGTTTTTATGTTTTGTGTTACAGAATATATACTTTAAAACGATGTCTTCTTTTCTTAAATTGGGAACCTGTTCGCCTTGCTTAAACATGAGTATGGTTTTACTTTTACCCCTCCCAAAAAATGTGCCTAGATCCGCCCTTGCTTGGTGGTGACACTAATTTCTGATTCAAGCATACTTCCACTTGACTATACAATGTATGTAGCCAATTGTTAACAGGAGCTACCACATCGTCAGCACCCAAGTGCGTGTCATCTTGTTTTACAATTTTCGCCGTAACGTAGAGCATTGTGTGACTTAGATCGAGGTAATCATTTCCATTTCCGTTGGGAATGAAATATGAGCCCGAAAAAAAAGTTAACCTTCAAAATGTAATTTGACACCAAATGAAATTTGAGCCAAAAACCGAGCTGACCTTGAAAATGAAACGTGACACTCCAAAAAAAGTGACCTTGAAAAAGTTGGCATGAAATATGAAATCGAAAAAAAGTTCACATTCTAAAATAGGAGCTGGACATGAAATGTGTATAAAATAAGTTTTTCATTACGTTTATTTGCAATGTACTATTATTCGCTTTGTACATATTACATCACTCTTCCCGCTCTTCAGTAAAAAATCCATTGGGGATTTCAAGCTCCAAATCTTCGTTTCGATCATTAATGTCGATTACCACCGTCTGACGATCGAAGATGTCTTCATCTTCAGAATCGGTGTCACTCCTTCAAATAAACAGCTGTTAAATGGTAAATATTTTACAATAAGTTTTGTACTTACAGATCGTAGCTAGGTATCGGAAACGGCAATTGAATGCGCTCTTCAGTAAAAAATCCATTGGGGATTTCAAACTCCAAATCTTCGTTTCGTTCATTAATGTCGATTACCACCGTCTGACGATCGAAGATGTCTTCATCTTCAGAATCGGTGTCACTCCTTCAAATAAACAGCTGTTAAATGGTAAATATTTTACAATAAGTTTTGTACTTACAGATCGTAGCTAGGTATCGGAAACGGCAATTGAATGCGCTCTTCAGTAAAAAATCCATTGGGGATTTCAAACTCCAAATCTTCGTTTCGATCATTAATGTCGATTACCACCGTCTGACGATCGAAGATGTCTTCATCTTCAGAATCGGTGTCACTCCTTCAAATAAACAGCTGTTAAATGGTAAATATTTTACAATAAGTTTTGTACTTACAGATCGTAGCTAGGTATCGGAAACGGCAATTGAATGTTATGGTTGTTCGTCGACATGATGTAAGTTAAAATACACACAAAGCACAAACACAAAGATCACGTAAAAACTCGAAAAATACGCACGTACAAATGTAAAAACGCAAGTAATTCCGAGTCCCCGAAAATAAGATTTTTATATCAGAGCAGGTAAAATAGAATCCGATCCCTTCAGAACATTACCGCACGCTTTATTGTTCTCCTAAAACCGGTTTTCCGCTTGTTTAAACACGATCTATTGTTTAAAATGCATGACTCTTAACTCGCTAAACCTGTTTGCCGCATGAATAACCACATCTTTTGTTCTTGTGGTCGTCTTTATGGCACCACGTCAATCATTTCTTTTGTTTCTACTTCCGGTTACATGGAACGGCATTTAGTTCACGTTGAGCGGATAAGTGCTTTCTTTTTGTTCAGGACACCTGCACAAGTATGACTCATACCTCGCTAAACCTGTTTGCCGCATGAATAACCACATCTTTTGTGTTTGTGGTCGTCTTTATGGCACCACATCAATCATTTTCTTTTGTTCTCGTCATGACTCATCGTCACCTGCACAACTATGACTCATCTTTTTAATTTAATTCGCGATTATAGTGACGTATTAGATTTACAGTTACGCGGTGTTTATAAAGCTGGTGAGGTTGCGACTCGTTCTCATTTGTGTTCAGTTCAGTGTTCAACGTGATATTGTGTCAGTGTACTAGTTCAAAGTTACAAGTAAGTTCAATCGCCTCTGTTTTTTTTGATATAATTGGTAATTAAAGTAGATGAGCAAAGGGACTTCTAGACCAGGAAGTGACGTCACGCCAATGAGAATCGAGTATTGTGGTCACGTGGTGCGGTGTGAGCCAATGGGAGGGCGTGAGTCGGCCATTTTGTGACGTCACATTTTGCGTGTTTTGCTTCCGTTGTTTCTGGACCAGGAAACGCGTCATAGCTTGTGAAATATTTGTCTGAAAAAAAGGCTGCGTCGAGGATTTGAACCGTCGATACGTGAATTACGAATCTGCCGCCTTAACCATCTGAGCTAGGCGAGGCTTTGAGCTATGAACGTTTAGCAGTTCAAGTATTGTTAGAATGTGGGGGGGAGCGCGATTGCAGGGGCGTAGAGGGTAGCAGTAGGAGCGGGAGATACCCCTAGGCCGTATAAGCTATTTCGTAGGAGCGGGAGCTACTCCTATTATGTTTTTAGAAAAAGCGCGTAATTGAAAGAGGAAACTGCAATCTCGCTTGCAGTGATAACATTTATAAATAGGCGCGCTTTACATTTCTATATTGAGAAAGCGCGCAAGATTATTATAGGCGTATTAACCTTTAATAATAGGTAATGGTGGATCGCTGTAGAGGTAGTAGAAGAAATATTTCACAGGATCATCAATAATGGTTGGCGCAGCTAACCCTACCTGCGACGTAGGTTTTAGTAACAGCGCGCGAAATTTAGTTGTTTGTTATTATAATTAGGATGGGAAGCTGCAATCTCGCAATAGTGTTTATTTATAGCAGCTATGATAAGACGCTTAAATCGTGTGCGAAAAATAATTTTTCATATTGCTAACTAGAAGGAAATGAGCTTATCTTCTTTATGCTTTATTTTTAGACGCATTATTCTAATATTACATTCTAATATGACATTGGTTTTCGAATATGCTTTGACGAAATACAATCATTACAATAAATCATTAGCGGAGCGGGTCCATCGATGTGAGTGCGCTGCCCCGGCTGGTTCCAATGTTTCTTACATCGTATTCGATTACGTAATTCACAGTCTCTTTGCAATACGTTGGGGATCTTGATCCATATTTTCAATAATTCCTCTACACTTAAACTTAACAATTCGCTCTTGGTTCGAATATAATTAGACTCCTTTTGAGCCTCTCGCTGAGCGATGTTGGCAAGTATTCGATCCATTAGCGTTCGATATGAGGATTTAACGCAATGATTTTTAGCATTACCTCGTTCTCAGTTTTATACCTATACCTTTAAGATACACTGCGCATGATGGATTTCTTTTAACCCCCTCCAAAGTAGTTTTAAGAGAAGGTATAAAAGCAATAAGAAAGTAAGAAATCGATTTATATCGAGATGAGTGCACAAATACAACAAGAATCGCAAGATTCATGGGGTAGCGAAGATGATGATGATGCAAAGTCATCGCTTTCGGTAGATAAATTATCGGTGAATGAATCCTCGAAAGAGGAGCAAGGTATGTATTGAATAACGCTGATTATGGTGGAAGCAAAAGATGTATGTTTATAGGAAAGGAAACCTTAATATCCGCATGGTCGCTATTCTTAGACGGAGGCATTATTCTCGAAGTTGGCGTTACACTGGACGAGTACTTTTTCGATTCCATCGTGCAAATATCATGTCCTCCGCATTATGAAGACCAGTATTTACAATTTGAGAGTTGCGAATGGAAAGAAATATTCAATTTTAAAACGGAACACTTAATTAAACATATGGTGCAGTGTACGCCTAAAAGAAGGAGCAAGCATGAAATTTTTACCCAGTCCAAAATAATAATACTTGAAGCGGAAGAAGAAGAAGGCGTTAGATGTATTCGAATAAGCGAATCAGATAAATCTATACTATTTTCCAAGCAAGCAGTCGATATGATATTTAACGCTTCCGAAGTGATTACTCAAAAACTGAATGTCGTCAATCACTATGCGATGTATTGTCTTTATGATGACTTTACGCGTGAGTTGGCAAAAATTCTACATACCGAAGGTGTTACTAGCGAAGAGAGCATTTTATCCAGAGCGAAAATCATATGCCAAAATCTCAAATTCTTAACATCGCTATGCAGTTGGAAGGAAAAGTATGATAATTTGCAAGACTTTACTCTTCTAACAGAAATTGTAAACATTCACCCTCGAAAATTTATAAATACGGTTGTTAGTAAAATTAGCATGTTAAAATAAATAATTTTATAGCGTAAAAAATGCTTTTTATTTATTCATACGTATCGATACACAACAACTTATTATCCACCTAATGCCGCATATACAATTCAATTTGTTTATCAAACTTTAAAAGTTTAGCTAATACATTATATAATTGCTCCAATACGCCTTTATTAGCACAATGAATATTGAATAAGGATAGATCAATGTCGCCTGAGTGAATTACACGACCTGTATATTCACTATATTTATGAAATTTATTTCCGGTGATAAAGTATAGGTATCCATCCATGTATTTAAATATAGAAGTTATCTTAACCGGAATATCTGGAAAGGTTTCCGCATATATTAAGCGATTTTTAGGTCGATTACTACAATCATCCAAATCTAGCAGTTCATTTGTACCATGATAAATAAGCGTGCGTCCGGTATAGGTGTTAACTGCAGCATTCACTTTATGGCTGTTGGGAATTGTGAAGTGGCTATAAGGCTGAGGCCATCCTGGTAGCAGTTGCAGACTAGGGAATTGCACTATGTATATGCGACCGCCACTAAAGAAGACAACATCGCCGTTAGGCTTTTGATATACCGCTTCCAAACGTTTAAAAGATGCCGGAAGAAACGTTAACCACTCAAGCAGATTCTTGGCAGGTTCCACTTTGCTGCTGTTTAACGCCGATATGCAAACCCAATGTTCATAAAACATATAAAGTCGTTTGTTTAGAATCAAAAAGTGTTCGATTTGAATGGTACACAGGTCAGGTGGTTTAATGGTCTTGCGAGTAGTCTTGAGAGTAGGTGTAGTTGTCTTAATACGCGTTGAAAGATGATAAGTTTTATTCTCTGGTGAAGGGGTGGCAGCAGCAGCAGCATCAATAGAATATAGTGCTCGGATTCCGGCTATATCATCCTCATGTAGCGTGTTCATATTTGAATAATTGTAATAAGGAAACATGAGTGCATTTTCATCGCTCGAATGGTGTAATCCGAGAGTATGGGCCTATTTCATGTAATACAACTTGGAAATAACTAGAATAACCGGGAGGAGGTGCATTTGCATCTGCTACATGCCAGCGTTCTTCCCAATCTATATGCATTTCAACAACATTCTGATCTCTGGAGGGAAAGTATGCATGGGCTAATACATTGCCCAATCCATCAAACTCGAATGCACATTGCGGATATGGTGGTGAAGCGAACTCATGCTTTCGGGTATGAAATGATATTAATATGTCTGGGTTCCTTGAGCTATATTTGAATTTCAAATTTGTGTGGTTCGCCCAAACTTGAAATGCTTTATCCGTCATCTGTAAAATGTGCAGGTCATGCATATTGGAAATATAGTAAATCAAAGTCTGTTTTGTCCATTTATACCGATGAGTCATATACGCTGCTGGGTCATCAATATTTCCGCATCTAGGTCGAGACATGAGTTGTAATGTTTCGGCATTTAATCTGCCATCACTAGGTAGTTTATAGAGTTCTTGAAATTTCTTTAAAGCGTTAACGGTGATATTTGTACGATTATCTTGAGTTGATTCACCTTCACCAGGCTCCTTTATATATCCATATTTGGTGAGATGACTATATGCCATATCGATTTCACGCTCACTGATTGTATCGCTCTCGTCGACATTATCCGCAGCAGCAGCAGCATTAGCACTAATACAGAAAAACCAGCTCAGTACGACAACTGCAGCTTGCATGATTGTAAAATCTATACTGATTCAAAAGTTTCTTTTGGAGGACTAATAAGGATGTGGTAGTGGGGGGATATATATTGAAATGAATTAAAAATTAGGCTATAAATACTTAATCTTCTGTCAACGACAGAATGGTGCAGACTGTAATCGATGTACAAGGATTTAAAACATCAAGAAACGTATTTATACCAAAAGAACTGGCAATTTATAATGGCAAGCAGGTTGCTCATTTTATGTTCAAGCCTCCATTTCCGTGGAATAGCTTATCTACCGATTTACAACGTCAAGCTACCTGGCTAATTCATAACCATCACGGAATTAAATGGGAGCACGGTCATACGCCATCCTACATGTTTCCAATTATACTTCGCCAGTTAATATCATCATCAGACCAAATATACGTTAAAGGAAAAGAAAAAGCCGATTTCATTCGAAAAACTCTATGGCAAAATGTCACCGAGGTGGAAGAAGAACCAGCTCTACCTAAATTAGAAGCATGTTGCTACTATCATGTACGATCACTTTGTTGTTGCGCTTTATCTAACGTTTATTATATTTATAATACGCATGTAATTCAGTAATTTTTTTTTAATAAAACAACCAAATTCAATCATTTTTACTTTATTGCAATTGATACATCTTAATACGATTACATAATATGGGTTCCAAAACAGCTGCAATGCGTTCTATTTTACATTTGAAGCGGTACCTATCTAATGCGACAGTTTCCCACTGGCCCTTTCTTGCTTCTCTGTGAGCATAGGACCAAACTCGCAAGATATAAATTTTATTTTTTGATTCGTCAAAGCTGACACTCTTCATTTATATAAAGTTTAATTACACTTTTACGTGAACTATAATTAAGTTTTGCGTACGATGCCAGTGAACGGCTCATACTCGATTAATGCATCATGTAAAATAACGCAGTAAGCGATAGTTTCATTTGCAAATGCAGATGATGCTTCAACTTCCAGCTTCAAATCGATCACCACGTTATGGACGCTCTCGTTTTGACGGGTGCAATTGATAATGAAGATAGGATGCTTTTCGAACTCTTTGTAGCTAAGAAGGGAGCTCTCCTGTGACGAGTCGTAATATTGATTACGAAAGTTTAAATATTCTTCGTAAGCATCCACATACTTGTTATCGGTAAAGACCAGATTTTGCTGCTCATACGGATATCTTCGGTTGTTAATGTTTGCTTTTATATTGGAAATGCTTAAATGGTTAAACTCGCTCGCATCTGCTTCTTTGTTATTTCGCTTCCTAGTTTGGAACGCAATCAGTAGCCATTGAGGCCGTTGAAACCCGGTGCTGCTTTTTACCGACCAAACCAACGATCTGGTGGTGGGTAAGGTTGGGTATACGTAAAGGTCGCGCGCATGAAACGCCACTTGTATCGGTGAATTCTTGTTAATCCTCCCGTAGATCGACAACTTCATAGCATCGTTCGGAATTACGTACGGAACTTTCCATGTTACCTTCGTAAGATTAATCTTAACTTCAGTCTCGCCTTTATAGCAATCACTATCGTCCTTGGAACGAATTAATATCAGCTCTTGACGTATGTTGACTAGAGGCTTCCTGTATCCTTCGGCAAACCCGAGTACATGCTTTAGAGGTATGGAAGCGCAGAAAGCCGTCTTAGTGCTATTTAGTATCTGAGGAGACCCGGAAGGGCTCCAGCCTGCATGCGATAAGCATCTGCTTTGATCCGACGTGTATGAGCAAAACCCCTTGATGGTGCTGTTTATTCCGGGTAATCGAACAGTTTCTATCACCTGGTCGCCCAAAATAAATCTAATTTCGTCGAAGAGAAAGAGCGGCGCGTTGTTGGTGAAATCGTAAGCTTTATTTGCGGTAGTCGGATTCAGCGTTCCTTCTAAATATATAACGCTATCGTAGGTGGCCGTGATGAGATCCGCTTTCTGTATGACGAGATTGATCTCATCGGAGTTACCATAAGCGTTTGTCGTATAAGGATGGTATGTTCTGCGATCGGATTCGACGATCATGTCTTCATACTTTACGCCCGTGAATAGGTTTTTTAATGCTTCTTCCATCTTTTCTTAGTACTGTATAGCCGAGATATTGCAAAAACTGTACGTCGTCTTCGGTTAATGCGCCGTTAGCAATTGTTGCGTCGATGGCTGACGATGGATGACTAAATGAAGAACCTTGCTTACAGAAAATTTTAAGTCCCATATTTTTTCAGCTCCAATCGAATAGTTACTCTTTCTTCGCCGAAATCCACTAAATGACCGTCTTGATCGACTAACCTCAAGGTTATGTTATCTATTTGATGCGTGAGTACCGGTAAATATATAATCGTAGCCGGCTCCTTGATTAACTTATAGCCCGGCTCAACGTGTACGTCAAATTCAAAGATTGTATGAGATAGCGCACTGTTTCTGTATGCTCCACCCGTTAAATTACACTCGACGTGTATATTAGTAGCGTTGATTATTTGCACGTCCGGATCAGATTCATGGGTTCTACCTCCTTTATACAATTTAGGAGAGAAACCGAGCATGCGACCGATGGAGTTCGATTTCCTAAAGTCAATATCGTGTATGGTTTTCATTTCGCATTTTAGCGTATTATTATTAGGTCTCAACATAAAGTCCATCGAATTGGTTGGTTCGTTTATATGATGCTGTAGAATCCTGTTGATCTCTTCAATTTCATACGCGCCACTCGGAATGGTAATCTCTTTGAAGATGCTATCGGCCGCTGCATAGTAAAATTTGTTGTTTCCCTCAAATATATTGCGTATAGAATTACAGCCGTAAAAGCCAACCAACCCTAATCCATATTGATAATTATGGTCTAGTTCGATCGGCGGAAAATATGAGGTGCTGAGGACGTTGCCGGCACCTGTTAAGGTGAACGTTTGAGACATGACTGATGAAGTAAACAAACTCTAGGTTCAATTATTTATTATACAGAAAATTTAAACATAAATGTCCACATATCAGCGTATTATAATTTTGCTCCCTAGTATAATTGTATATGATGTTGCATCCGGATAAATATTTAACTATTTCTATTGGTGGCGTCAAGTCGCCGAAGCTATCATAGTAAACTGCCTTCATGCCGCGTTTCTTGAAAGCAACCCAATGCGTACCTCTTCCTTTAGCATCATCCAGGTTTACGATAGCGCACTCGTTTAAATGAGGTTTTCGCGGTAATGTATCACGCATAAACACTCCTCTGAAGAAGGGTACGTCTTTAGCATACTTCACAAGATCCGAGTCCGTTAATGCTTTTCGCGGCAAATTTAAAAGTTTTTTGTCGGATATGGTTTTAAATACAAGGCGTATCCCGTTTTACGCGGTTGAAGATACAGCGAACTGCCTTGTTTGCCCAACGAGGCGGCCTCCATTGCCATGTTATGCCGTTTATTTTCCTCCAGCTGCTTCTTCGCGGCCGACGCATCGTTAATTGCTTTAGCTATACCGCTAGCTCCACCGGCCATTGCGCCCGCAGCCGAAAGACCGGCAAAGAGCGGTACTAGGAACGGAAGAAAACCTCCGACTTTAGGTATTGGTATCACTCGCGGCACTCTCACTCTTTGCTTACCGCCTGCAGCTTTAACCGCTCTCTTGGCGGCCAACAAACTTATTTTGATAAGTTTATTCAAGTTTTCCGATGATGATAGGCCTTTTATTGAATTTCGAATTGGCGTTAAAACTCCACCTCTAAACGAACAAGTCTTCTTCTTTTTCCCGCGCTTTGCGATACGTCGTGTTGCTCCCATGCCAAGCTTCCTTTTGGCCTTCATTGCTCCAGCTACGGCTAATGCTGCTGCTTTCTCTCCAAAACTAGCGTCCTTTGCCTTTACACGATCCCAAGCTCGAATTTGAAGTTCTTTATCGGCCCGATGACGATTCTCAACGTCTTTGAATTGATTGTATGCGATGTCGTGTTGCTTGCATGCAGCGTCCAACTGATTTATTCCTTGATCACCCCGAGCTAGACGCTGCTGTAGTTTGGTTCCCGGTCCGCAGTATTGATATCCGGGGATATGAAGTTCCACCGGCAATTTGTTTATCAAGCTGTTTATAAACCCCTTTCCTACTCGGCGATCGGCCATGAACTGATCAGTATAACTCAAACTATCGAGTAATAATGAAGTTTATGAAGCAACCTCAGCAATTGCATGTTGAGGATCATGATTTGTATACTGAATCGGAAGTGTCGGGGAAACACGGCTCATTATTTCCGGCTTCAATTAGAGCGGTCATCTGTGGACCATCGGGATCCGGAAAAA